ATACTTTTAATTTTGGGCCTTTCAGCTGTACCTCTTGAACATATAATTTTTGTTATTTTCTTCAATTAAGATATATTTTGCACTTGAAATTGGCACTGCCAGATTTTTCATATTTCGTGCAAAAATGCATCGTTTCTAACATTATCCACCTGTGCATTGAACTAGCCGGTTTTTGGACCAATAGCCGAGCAGCTTATATCTCTTTAACCAATAGCAAGCTAGCTCATGACTCATAGTTTTATAGGAAATCAGTTAAAATATTCTTTCCCCAAAAATATTATAAATAAATACATAAATACAATAACTTATGAATAAGCTTATATAGATAGATATTTAAAGATAATAAGATAGATAGATAGAGATATAGATAGTCGAGTTAGGTAGATATAGAGACCCTACGAGGAATGTAATAGGATAGATAGATAAAAGAAATGGAAGGGAGCGGAGCGACACTAGACATATTCAGGCAGTCTCAGACACACTCCCAGTCAGGCAGTATAATCAGGCAAAAACAGGCGGTATAATCAGGCAGTATGGGATCCAAGAACGGAAAGCCAGTCCTGACAGAGGAAAATGCCGAAGCTCTGGCCCAATCAAGTGGATTGACTCCCGTTCAGGTTTTCTTTTAAATGGACTAAGGACGTTTTTTCAATTGCACCCCGCCTTTTATAGAAGGTTTTACCAATTCACAGTGATACCCTTTACACCTGTATCTGAATCTGGCATGTCACTTAAAATTGTAAAGTCACCTCAAATTACACCGAAAGTTCCTTCAATCTGAAATGTGTTGTGTTAAAGTTGTTTTTAGCAAATTTAGTTGGAAATGCAACAGGAGGAAATTTATTAATCTGCCAGTAAACAGAGTCTATAAATTCAATGTTTAATAATAATATTGTTTTAAAGTTTAATTTATGTAGACTAAATACTGTTAAAAGACTTAACAGACAGTGTATATAGCCCAGGATACTATCAAAAGACTAACAGACAGTTTATATAGCCCCCAAAAGACTAACAGACAGTTTATATAGACCAGGATACTATCAAAAGACTAACAGACAGTTTATATAGAACAGGCTACTGTTAAAAGACCAACAGACAATTTATATATTCCAGGATACTGTTAAAAGACGAACAGGTAGCTATATATAGGCTAGGATATTGTTAAAAGACTTAACAGACAGTGTATATAGACCAGGATACTATTAAAAGACTAACAGACAGTTTATATAGAACAGGATACTGTTAAAAGACTAACAGACAATTTATATATACCAGGATACTGTTAAAAGACGAACAGACAGCTATATATAGGCCAGGATATTGTTAAAAGACGAACAAATAGTTTATATAGACCAAGATACTGTTAAAAGACGAACAGACAGCTATTTATAGGCCAGGATATTGTTAAAAGACAAACAGATAGTTTATATAGACCAAGATACTGTTAAAAGACTTAACAGGCAGTGTATATAGACCAGGATACTATTAAGAGACTAACAGACAGTTATTATAGAACAAGATACTGTTAAAAGACTAAGAGACAGTTTATATAGAACATGATACGTTTTGCAGTCCAACCGTAAGACAAATGACTAAGTACTTGGAAACTTTCATAGATTTAGACGCGAGAACTTTCTGCATCATTGTGTCCTTATCCCTCACGCTTGCACTCTTCTTATCTTTCTTTCCTTTTTTACTTTTTCTGTTTCCACTTTCGTACATCCCTTCCCCTCTCCATCATACTCATGTTATTTTCTCCTTTCTCCCACCCTTAGTGTCCCAGAAATTTTTTCATATTTTTGTGGTATTATCTAGTTTTTTAAATTTCATATATCACCCCCTTCTTTTCTTTCCCCTCCCCATTCTTTCTTCCAGTAGTTCAAGTTCTCAGATGAATTAAATTTCGTGACTGTAATTTGCACCACATTTTTCCGCACATCTTTTGCACAGCGTATACAATTTTGCAAATTTTCACTATCTGAGATACTGCAATAATTCAATTGAATTTTTAAAAACCAGCTGTTCCCCCTCAACAACACTTTTCACTATTTAAAGGGACTGTAAACGTAATTTCAACTGACTTTACATGCAAAGATGACAATGCCCGATTTGAATTGGTAACCCTTGAAACCTTTATCTGATCAATAATGTGGAAGATATTGTCGTTTTTCTAGATTTAAAAGTGTTGATTTCTAATAATTTTTATTGTTTTCCTGTCGTCACTTTTGTAGAAAAGCCACAATTGAAAATAACATTTTTTTGAAGATTGTAAACAATTAAATAATTATTACTTTTTTTCTAACATTTTATTATTGTGTAGGTTCGTGAGCATTTTGATGCTTTTGTTGCTGAGCACCCAAACGGAAAGATGAAAAAGAAGGATTTCCGTGAAATGATGTCAAAGGAAACTTTTTAAAATAAATCTTAATTGAAAGATAAAATATCCAATCATGTGTTTTGTTTACAACTTCTTTACAAACTAGTTCATAGAACTACAAATGTAAAATCAAATAATGAATTCCTTTTCAATTTTCTTCAGTTCTTAAGTTCACAACGGTACCCTTGAAACCATTATATGAGCAATAATGAAAAATTTGTTTTGTACCTTAAAGTGTTAAATCTAATGATTAAAACATTATCACGGCTAAATCTCCTTCATGATTTCAAAAATACAATGTCCAAATATGTCTAGCTCTACAACATCCTAACAACTGACCTGTAATGGAACTTCTAATGTTATAACGTTTAGTTTTAGAATTTTTTTTATGTGTCTTTTCGTCTTTCTTGAAGAAGATTTCAGGATTTTGATGAGATAATATGAAGGGGAAAAGAATTTTCAAAAAATAAACAAACATGACTTTATAAATACAAATATATACAGGGTTACCCACACAGGATGAGACTGTAAAGACGACTAGAAACTATAAAAATTTGACAATCCCAGTATTCTGCCTTAGATATAGTAATCTAATGGATTATTCATCTAGTTGACAAAGAAACAAGTTTACAATTGGAGGACATCATGAATATAGATAAACAAATTCCGTACAGTAGTCTCTGAAGTCTTATCTTTTGTGTTTAACCCTGTATATATACAGGGTTAGTCACAGGATGAGACTGTAAAGACGACCAGAAACTATAAAAATATGACAATCCCAGTATTCTGCCTTAGATCTAGTGTAATCTAATGGATTATTCAGCTAGTTGACAAAGAAACAAACAAGTTTACAATTGCAGGACATCATGAATATAGAGAAACAAATTCCGTACAGTAGTCTCTGAAGTCTTATCTTTTGTGGGTAACCCTGTATATAGACAGGGTTAGTCAAAAAAGTGTGATTTGTGGCGCCTGGTGCAAAATTGTACCTTTTTTGTGCAACTCTCCTGAATGGTGTTTTTTCAATATTTTTAGAAAATAGAAAATTTTTAATTTTTTGGTACTCCAAAAATATTCGCGAACTTTTTTTCTCTCAAAATCACAAGTTCAGAAAAACAAAAATATGTAAATAAATTATTTCTATGGAAATCTAAAATTCTACAAAAGATTGGATCACAGAATCGCAGACAATTTACAAAATTGTAGTAAGAAAATTCACAATTTTCAGTTCTGGTCTTTTTTTTACGGAAAAATTGTTTTTCTATGGTTCTTAAGGTTTTAACTGAACAGCGTATATTAAATACTTTAAAATATACTAAGAAGAAAGGAACTAGAGAATTTAATAACTTTTCCTTAAAAAATAGACCAGAACTGAAAATTGTGAATTTTCTTATTACAGTTTTGCAAATTTTCTGCGATTCTGTGATCCAATCTTTTTAAATTTTTGATTTCGATAGAAATAATTTATTTTCACATTTTTGTTTTACTGAACTTTTGAATTTGAAAGAAAAAATAAGTTCGCGGATTTTCAAAAAATATTGAAATAACACCGTACAGGACAGTTGCACAAAAAAGGTACAATGTTGCACCAGGTGGCGTAAATCACACTTTTTTTTGACTCCCCCTGTATAGCGTATATGTATATTATATATATTCACCTGTTTTGTGTTGAAATTTACAAGCATGAATTCCATATCTTGCGTTGACAGCAAATATCCCTTATCATGAACAACTTTACAACTAACGATATATCAATGAATGTCTTCTATATACTGGTTATATAGGCCTGAAATATGATGATATCGAAAATTTACAAAATGGCATTTCTAACAGTGTATTCCAGAGAATTTTCTGGTCCTCACAGTATTTCGTATTATTCTATATGATAAAACAAGACATTTGTATATACACATGTTGCCTATAGCCAGCCAAAAAAATGTTATTATTTTTTTTTCACGGGTCCTTCATCTAGTTTTGTATAGGGTGAAACTTTGACTTTATAGCACAAATTTCTTGAAATGCTATAGAATTATTTTATAAATCAAACGATAGGACTTTATTTCTACATTTCTGAAAATTCCGTATTATTTTTGAAATTTGAAATAACCAAAAATATGTGGTTTTGTTTACATGGATAATTCAACTTTATTTGATAAAAAACTTTTTTGTAGAATTTGTTTTTAATAAAAAGTTGTTTAACAGGCTCTCCCTAAAAAAGATGCAAGCAAGATGGAGTCTCATGTATTCAGGTTTAATAAAAGAAAAACTAATTTTCAATGAAAAAACTTTTCTTGAAATTTTTCGTATTTTTAGGATTTACGATTCGAACAACGATGGTGTCATCGATTTCGTCGAGTTCATGGTGAGTTTTGAAATTTATTTTCTATCTTTTCAAATATTTATTTTCTTTATCTTTTAGGTCGTCTACTACATTATGACCGATGGAACCCCACAGGAAGTCCTAGAGAGAATATTCAGGGTGTTTGATGTTAACAGGTAATCCAACCCGCCACCAGGATAACATGGCACATTTGCATCCTTATTGATAAAAAATGATAATTTACTAGAACCACCTTTCTAAAAAAATATTTTGAAAATTTTGTTTTCATTTTTTCTTGTCAATTCAGTTGTCTGAACAAATACAGTGCATGCAAACTTCAGTAAGATCAAAAACCACTGTAACGTTCTGACTTAAGAAGTTGGTTATTCTTCTAAATAGTTGGAGGGGCAATATNAAAATTATGGTCTCTAATGTCATATTAAAATATTACACTTTGGGTAATTTTTGGGTTTCAAGATCTCTCACATTCATTTTATTAAATAATTATACGGGTGAAAAATGGAAAAAAATACAAATATGTACTTTATGAGATTGTGTATTTTATGGCTCTTACTCACACAATTCTTAAAATCAAAGTTTAGACGGCCGGGTGTGGGGAGGGATTGGAGGGGGGGGAGGAAGGGTCAAGATTAGGGGTTAGCATTGGATGGATTTAAAGGGAGTGACTGGCAATGTATGGTTGTTGCGTATTTTCGTCGTTATTTAGTAATTAAAAAAAAATTCTCAAAACGTACCCACCCAAATTGATGATTTTGAACGTCGGCTTTGCACTCAAACTAAGTTATTAAAGATCTTTAAAACGTTTTATAAGTATAAAATGAATCTTATAAAATTTCTCTACAATTCTACATCCAACATACATTGCCGGTCAGTCCCTTTAAACCAAATGCGTAATTTATTAAATTGTATTTTAAAAGTTCGAAAGAATTTAAATGCCCGAAGGTGTGGTTTGTATTTGAACACTGAACCTTAAACTGAATTTAAACATTTTTAACTGTAGTACCTGTTTATTTATACATAAATATACATCCGTATAAACTGCAGTATATGTAAAGTTATACATAAATGTGAATAAGCATAAAATGTAGTATCTATATATTTATACATCAATGATATTTGAAAAGTTAGCTTTAGTCAGCCTAAAGGTGTTACAATGCTTGAATTCGGCTTTAACGCTGTAATTGGTAAACGTGCAATAAACTTTCTTTGAAGCCCTTAAACCCTACACATACACTATACACTAAACATACAGGCTGGAACAAGCAAATTCAGAGTGTCCTTAGAAAAAATACTATAAATATAATGCCATGGAATCTGTGTATATTTTGGTATACTGAAACTTTTCTTCACCCTTGACAATTACCAGGGCTATAAATGTATTTCTTTAGGTTAAATTTAATGGCGTTTTTGTCTAGAATTCAACAAATTGATTAAGGAATTGAGAATTTGCCACAAACTGAAATGTTGTAATCCTTATATATTTGCAACCTGATCGTAATAACCTGCCATATTTCAAACTTAGATTATTTGATCTATTGTTTGAAATTTCTTAGGTCTCCGAGTAGGGATGTTCACGTTTTCATTTTTCAGAAAAACGATCGTTTCGTTATGAAAACGACGACGAAAAATCGAAAAAGAAACGATCGTTTTTTNTATTCTAGTTAATAGTTATTCTAGTTAATAGTTATTCTAGTTAATAGTTATTCTAGTTAATAGTTATTCTAGTTAATAGTTATTCTAGTTAATAGTTATTCTAGTTAATAGTTATTCTAGTTAATAGTTATTCTAGTTAATAGTTATTCTAGTTAATAGTTATTCTAGTTAATAGTTATTCTAGTTAATAGTTATTCTAGTTAATAGTTATTCTAGTTAATAGTTATTCTAGTTAATAGTTATTCTAGTTAATAGTTATTCTAGTTAATAGTTATTCTAGTTAATAGTTATTCTAGTTAATAGTTATTCTAGTTAATAGTTATTCTAGTTAATAGTTATTCTAGTTAATAGTTATTCTAGTTAATAGTTATTCTAGTTAATAGTTATTCTAGTTAATAGTTATTCTAGTTAATAGTTATTCTAGTTAATAGTTATTCTAGTTAATAGTTATTCTAGTTAATAGTTATTCTAGTTAATAGTTATTCTAGTTAATAGTTATTCTAGTTAATAGTTATTCTAGTTAATAGTTATTCTAGTTAATAGTTATTCTAGTTAATAGTTATTCTAGTTAATAGTTATTCTAGTTAATAGTTATTCTAGTTAATAGTTATTCTAGTTAATAGTTATTCTAGTTAATAGTTATTCTAGTTAATAGTTATTCTAGTTAATAGTTATTCTAGTTAATAGTTATTCTAGTTAATAGTTATTCTAGTTAATAGTTATTCTAGTTAATAGTTATTCTAGTTAATAGTTATTCTAGTTAATAGTTATTCTAGTTAATAGTTATTCTAGTTAATAGTTATTCTAGTTAATAGTTATTCTAGTTAATAGTTATTCTAGTTATTGTGGGCGGGGCAGAGTTAGATCTTTATTTAAATAAAAAGTTTCAAGCAATTGTAATATAACAATGGATTTCTCAATTTCTCACAGATAATATTTACCACTATCGGAGGTTGCCCGTGGAATTTTCGATTTTATGGTTCTTATACTGTATGATAAAATGTAAACAATTCTATCCTCTAATTCTTTTACCTGTTACACAATAATTATAATTTTTTATTATTTCAGTGACGGAACTATCACTAAAAAGGAGCTCAAGAGATTGATTAAGGTAAAATAATTTCTAATCCCCTGAGGCCGAATATTATGAATTTGAACCACCACGTGCTGAAAGGATCAGAATATTTTTATCAAAAAAGTGCCAAACTAAGGGGAAGATCAATTTTATGTAAAGTCTGGTAAAAAAGCTCCAAAAGTTTTTAATTGTTTGGCATTCTTAACAGTAACAGGTACCGGATCCGGATTGATTCAGAAAAAAACTGGAAATCCTACTTATTAAGGACATGTATGGACTCCTGAAGGACGAGAATGCTGAACAAGCAAGCCAAGATCTTATCACCAAGTCAGCATTTGCTGAGATGGATCAGGTTTTTAAACTATAAAATATTATCATGACCAGTCTCTTTAAAAAAAAGTTGCCTATCGAAGTGAACAGTCACTTTTAGTATAAATAAAAAAATCAATTGAGGTTTGATATTTGTAATTTTAAAGATACAATGGAATTTAGTATTTGCAATTTTCTAATCTTCTTATATTCACGATAAAAGTAATACTTTTTGCCAAAAAGATTATTTTTTTTCGAAAACAGAACAAATATTGGCCGGGGGGGGGGGGGTTA